CACGGCGTTTAATAACAATATTGACCTTTTCCAGCCGTCAAACTTGTCTTATTAAATCCTGAGGTCTTAACTGAATTTGCACACACGCGCTGGCAGTTTGCACAACGGGGCACGTGGTCATGTATAATTCATCTCCCCTCAGCCATGCCAGGCATTGAATATTTATCATTTTTTTCATAAGCAGCAAAGGGTGCTTTTTTTTTTCCCCCTCCTATTGCCCATTTCCACTGGAAAACCTCCACCAAAGCAAACGTACTCATCAAGAAAATTAAAGAGGCGCTTCGACAGTGAGCATCTCCCAGACTGCTGATCTGGGATTTTCGGAGAGGCCCAAGAGAAAACCCAACTCCAGAGAATTACAACAGCATTCAGGCACTCACCTGCCCGAGGCCCACCTCCCACTGCCTTCCTCTCCCCCCCTGTGCACACATTTCCCTCCCCACCAAGCGCAGGAAACCTGCGGTAGCGGATGATACCGCAGTGCCATGTAAGAGGATTGCAGCCCAGGCCGCTAGAGATCCATGGCACCAGCCAGCACATAGCAAGCAGGATCTTTAAGCCTGTTTACACTGCTCTCGGGTATTAAGGAGATGGAAAACAAGCATGGCTTCCAGGTGGATTTCTCCCAGCCCTCTCCACAAAGCAATAACGTGAGCAAACACAGCTCATGCAGCCAGTGTTCACTGCACCCGCAGAGAAGCAGCCTGAGCACAGAAATGTACCCGAGCGGCCTGAGATCCCACAGAGCGCCAGCAACCTGCCACCGTGCCCGTGTCACTAGGACCAGGACAACAGGGGCAAGTCGAGCAGGATGGGCAGTGTCCCCTGGGTGCCGTGCACAACACCAGGACGTCACTTTGCACTGGAAGAGATGTGCTGGGAGCCGGCGCGGCCTATGTGGATCCCAGCGCATCCCAATTCCTCCACCGTGGTGCCCATTGCTTATGAACATCCACCCCCGCAAAGCTGCCGCCGGCCCATAAGTCCACCCCACAGCCCCACTGATCCATCCAGGGCTGCGACAGCTCATTGCCTGAATAGCTCAGGGCATCCTAGCTATAGGCACTGCAGCTCTTATGATTTGATTGCGAGTCTCAACACCGGCAAAGCCCCCGTGCCAGGAGCCGGGTGCCTCTTGGAGAACCCCTCCCTTCCTAACTGCAGAGAGGAGCTTGACCCCAACCAGAAGTACCCACAGGGAGGAAAAGATGAGCCCAGAACTGCTTTCTTGACTGTCCCGATGTCCGAAGCACCCAGAGCTGCATCGGTGCAGGCTGCCCCCTCCCCAGACACACACCGGAGGAGCCGCGCACCTTGTTCTCGTCTGGGATCTCGTAGGCAGAGGTATATTTCTTCATGACCGGCTGAGCCAACACCTGGAAGCGCCGCCGGAACTGGGTCAGCAGCATGCGGTCCATGTAGCCTGGGGGGGGAGAGACCAGTCACAGCGGGGCACCCGCAGCAGGGGTCAAGCAGAAAGCAGACCGGTTGCACATGCGGGTGCTCCCTGGTGAGGCCGAGCTGGGGTGGGCACGTGGGGGGCCGCTCATCTCCGCACACACCGAGGCTCAGTGCTATTTAAGGCCACCGCAGTAACAACCACCACCCTCACCACCATCCTCCACGACTATAATATCAGCAGACCCTGGGGCTGCGACAGCACGAGGGTCCAAGGCTGCGGTTGGAAACGCACAGACCAGCCTTGCAAAGCAAAGCAGCAGCCGGGAGACAAAGCACTGGGCAGCCCCGGCTCTCCTCCTCGCGCCCGAGACGATCTGGCCTTCACCGTGGCAGACCGCAACCTCCGGCGGCCGACGTTGCGCCTTGGGTCAGGCCTGCTCGTTCCCTTTTATGTCCACAAGAGCAAGGCCAAAAATCAACGAGGCGCCAGCGGAGGAACAATTTCTCTTTGTTCCTGATTGTGCCGAGCGCGCACGCTCCCTCCCCCTCTCTGCCCCCAAAGTGCTTCTGCATCTCGATATATTTATGATTAAGCAGCAGGAGAGGAGGTCTCCGCAGCGCTGGCACCGGCAACGTTTGTTCAGCAGCAGAAGCTGGCTACCTCAGCTAGCATTTTTAACTCGCATGCGCTTGGCCTGGTAACATCCGCAGAAAAGTCCCTCGGCGCCCTGGGGCGCTCACGTCTGCTGCCAAAGCTGCGGCCAAAGGTTTGCCAGATGGTAGCGCGGCGCGGCGCGGCACAGCTCATGGGTGGAGGAGTTGGTAGGAAGAGCCGTGCCTTGTCCCCTCTGCAAGATGTCTTTCTGGGGCTTGGCTCTGGAGGCCGTGGTCAAACCGTGGCTGGACAGAGCAGGCTAGCAAGGACACAGCATGCCAGGGCTCTGGACATGCCCCCCCGAGCTGGCAGCCCTCCTCTTGTTACACCCCACTCCTATGGCACCTGTCCTGGGTTTGCTCAGTGGATGCACGCACAAGTCCAGCCTCAGCACAGTCTAGGTAACAGGCACCCAAACCAACCCAAACTTGGCCAAAGCAGGCTGAAGCTGGTCTCAGCACTGCTCTCTTTCCCCCTCTTCTCCATTCACATGGGCTCCTTTGCCCCATCCCAAGCGCCTGGCTTCAAGCAGGGAAGGTTTGCAAGCCCTCGGGGTTCGCTCCTCTGCTTCCCCTGGGTTGTGTGGAGGCCTGATGCTGCAGATGCAGAGTGTCTGGCTTTGCACCAAGGCTGCAACTTCCCTGCTCTGGGCTCTCACTTGCAAAAGGAAGGGAGACAAAATGCCAGGAGATTTGGGGGAGAGATGAACAAGCATCCCTCCACACGCTAGCAGCTGCTCTGCCATCAAGAGACCTGTGAAGGAAGGCTTGATAAACACTCGCTGGCTCTTGGCCCCAGCAGGCTGATCATACCTATCCTGTACAGACGTAGCGCATCCAGGAGCTGGGCCCCACACAGCTGGACTCTTAAGGTGGGTACATCCAAAGCTAGGTCTCCTTCCCCTGGGACGCCAGGCTGGGAGGTCGCCACATCCGCGCCCGCTCGTGGAACAAGGCAATGGATAAAATGCACCTGGGACCTCTTCACCAGGTTTGCGAGCGCATCCTGCGGGGTAAACGAAAGGCAAATCAGCTATGTCCGACTTGGGGAAGGGAAAAGCAAGGATTCCCTTCCCGTGTGCTGACGGCTTCCTCCGCGGGGAGAAGGAGTCCCTTCCAATCACTACGAACTGGAAGCTGAACTGATGTGCAAGGAACAACAGCTCCTGGGAGAGACATGGAGCTGATATGCAATAACGCAGCGAGTGCTGAGATACGACGCACCCGGGGCCTGGATCCGCGAGAAGACATCATTACGTACTAGCGGGTTATGAGAATTTGCCACGTGCCTGTATTGCCCTGACACATATGGGGGTAGAGAAATGGTGCTGGGTGCTCCCGTGATATAAGCAATAACAACGGGGAGCGACGTGCTCAGGGTTGTAATCGCCTCCAACGCCGCCCCAAGAGGACCGGCAGCTCCGTCGCTCACCATCTGGAGTTTGATCTGCGCGCAGACGGATTTCCTCTTCACCGCCGCAAAGCTGCTGGCGAAGGTCTTCCTCACGCAGCCGATGCGCTGCAAAGCTTGCTGGGAATATCCCTCCAGGCCTGCCACCGACTGGCAAATCTGGGGCATTTTGGACCGAGGCTGGAAGAGATTCCTCACATCATTGCTGTCAGAAAGGCAAATAGGTCCAGGTCATGAAAGAGCAAAACTCCCCCTTCTTTAAAAGCTGAGGCCTGGTGCAGGCCCCAGTGACCTCAGTCACTTCACCTTCCCTTGCCTCAGTCTTCCCATCTGTCAAATGGGGGCAATGCCACTGACACCCCTCTCCCCCGCCCTTGGCCATGTCCTCGGAGACTTCCCGAGGGAAATCCTGTATAAGAGCTACGTGTCCTCACAAAGGGCTCGACTTCAGCAGCTCATGTGGAATCTGGTCTTACTCGGGGGAGCCATCCAGAGGGCCAACCCTGTCCACACGGACGCTGCCTCAGGCAACCTGGCGGAAGCTGCTACTCGCCATTACAACGGCTGGCGAATGGCAGGGAGTCCAGCAAAATGAGCCGCAGGTGGCATAACGGCACCTTCAACGTACGGCGTGTGTAGAGCCATTCATGATGGTTTGATGCCATCGCGATTTCAGTTTGCAGCGGTAAAAACCCCGCCGGCGGCCGAAGCAGGCAGAACAGTGTCTGCCGCGTGAAGCGGGCCATCCGGGGAAGCCCCGGCGGTGCCCGCCGCAAGACCCTGGAGCCCTCCGGGCCAGGCACCCCTCGAAGGCCCTGTCCCCCCATGGCTCCGTGCCCCTGTACTCACGCTCGGGACTGCTGCAGGACCTGGATGGCGTTCTGCGCAGACAGGTTGGGCTTGGCTTTGCTCACCCAGCCGGCGAGGTCGTAGCGAACGGGGTCCTGGCCCAGCTGGTGGGAGATCTCGAACTGCAGCGCTTGCTCGCACTTGCGAAGGACGCCGTCCTCTGTAACAGCACAAGGAGGTTGTGATCTCTCTCCATGCACCCTGCACAACAGGAGCACGCATGCACGCACGCACATGGGGTGGGGGGCCGACAGCCTGGCTAAAATGAAGGCGGGCTGCTCGAGCTGTTCTCTGGTCTCATCCTCACCTGGTGACTCTCCCCACGCTGGGCCTAGCCAGGGACAATAGGAGTCCTGCCTCTGCCACTGCTCTCCTCAGCCACCTCAGTCACCTCACCTGACTCCACATTGCCCCTGTCCCAGGTGAAATGAATGGCAAAGCCTCCACTGATGAAAGCAAACACGCTTCCTTGGCATGTACCTGAGCTGGCAGAGCATCTCTGCAGCCCTGCTGCTCAGGAGGCATGCAACCATGCACAGGGAAACAAATGCGCATGGGACCTGGCCTGCAGCCGGGCACGTTTTAGAAATCAATGTTGTGCAATTATCCGGCACAAGAAGCAATCACCGCTGTCTCACTGCTTCCAAGTAAGGAGCAGGCCAGACACTTTCTTCCCAGGCTGGCATTCACGAGACTGCCCTCGCCCCCTGGGACGGGGAGGCAGGACGGCCCCATGGCAGGGGACAGGATAGGTCAGGCCGGGCAGGGGTTTGGGGGTATGTGGCTACCTCCCAGCTGCACCCTCTCAAAGGCGAATGCAAGAGGGAGCCCGCAGAAACGCGGGTCAACTTGCAAAGCCCCGTTCGTACAGGCGGCGCCTGCCTCTCCTCCCCCAAGGCTCCAGCTACCCTGGGATCAGGACAGAAACGTCTCCTGAACCAAAGCACCTCCCCTTGGCTCCCGCTACCCCCGCCGCAGCGACATCCAGCAACACAGATGGAACGGACGGACAGACCTCCGCTGCCCTTACCCTCCTTCTGGGTTCCCTTAGCAGCAAAGTAGGAGCAGAGGCGGTCCAGCACGACACTGTCGCCGGAGCCCTGGATCAGCACCTCCTCATCCAGGATCCAGAACAAGCCTTTCGGGTCATCTGCCTGGCCCCCGGGTGTCACGTGCAGCTGGCAAAAGGCAAGGTGCAGTCAGGTCAGGGCACAGGGAGAACGAGTCTAGGGGTAAGATTGGCCAGGAGCCCAACAGCGCTTAACGAGGCAATTGGGAGACACCGGGGCAGCCTGCTCTCTCTCTACCCCACCACCACCCGTCCCCACCTCCACCTCCTCCAGCCAGCGCAGCTGTGCCCGGCACCGTGCCTGCTCTGCCAGGGACCAGGTTGCTGCAGACCTTCACGTCTTTGAAGCTGGTTTCTGAAAAAATCTCCCCCCCGCACATGAAGCGTGGAGTGCAGATCCCAGCGTAGTGGGGGCACCAGTCTGCAGCTAAACCAGGGCAGCACCCCCATACGCCCCACACTGCAGCCTGCCATTTCCCCTGGCTGGCATCCCCTCCTCCTGGCCCGGCTGCCTCTCTGCACCTGGACTTGTGTGGCTGACAGTGACTGATAAGAGCAAGCTTTGGGGGTTGCTAATTGAAATCTGAACAGGGCTGAGAGTGCCGTCTACAGCAGCCTAGTGTCGGTCGCCTGAGATGATATCGGCGGGTTTATAAGCTACTGCCAAAAAGCTCAGCTTTCTCCACTGGCACATAGGGCATGTCTACATGTACATTAATGCACTTCAGTTAATGTGCATTAAATCCAGTACCTCCATTACAAAAATGGTACTAAGAAAACGTGAATTAGCCCCTGGGACTCAATTATCCTAGGTCCCTTCCAGCCCTAGTGTCTATGAATCTATGCAACATGTATTAACTAAACAGCATGGGTTTTTAGTGACACTTTAATGCGCATTAAAATAGGCTATAAAGCACACATGTAGACGTGCCCTAATTTCCCCCTCAGGCCATTTTATTTGCAGCCTCAGGTACAAATGAACCAGACAGTCTGAAGTCTTCTTTGATTGCAGGGATGTCTGCCTGGCACGAGGCAATGCTGGGCTAAGACCCACTGTCTGCCCCATGTGTGAATCCTGCCCCGGGAGCAGTGTAGACAGACACGTGCAGGGCTGCGCAGGCACTGGCAAGAGCACTTAGAGGGGCAGAGCCCGTAGGCACGTGCCCAGCACCTCCCAACCATGGCAGTGGTCCAGGAGCAACACGTCCACAGTGGGTGCGGTGCGTCTCAGCACAGCAGCACCTTGTGCCATGCACCGATACCCAGGCCAGCCCTGAGCATTTAAAAAGATGTGGGCACGGGGAAGTGCAAACTGCTGCACATGCTCAGGGATAATCCCAGAGGGCCATCATTTGGGCCTTTCCCTAGCATCAAAACTTGCATTCAAGATGACAGGGAACAAAGGGAACACCCCGCGGCGCCCAGCTGGCACTCGCTCCCTTTTCTACCCGCCGGGGCAGACAGACAGCCGCACGATCTTGCCGTCGCTTTGAGGCCGTGGTACCTGGGACGCGTTCTGATCGACAACAGACAGCGTGGCCAGCGGAGATTGCTCCGGCAGATCAAAAGGCACCTCCACGTTTTCCTGGAAAATATCATGGAGAAGTTTGTTTCGATTGCGAGCTGACATTTGAAATCCAAGAAGAGATAATCTTGCAAGCAGGAGGGGAAAAACAAGCCCCGCGTCTGCTCCACTCCCACTTTGCTTTGTGCCCGTCTGAAGCTGGCTGATCAAAGCCCCCCTATCAGACATCTTTGAACTGCCTGCATTGGCACCGCCTGGGCTGAATCACCGGGTAAGGTTGTCAAGATAAGGGCACTCAGATGGCTGCCGCCATGGTTTGGTGAATGTCAAAAATGCTTCATAAATAACGGATGTGATCAGAACTGAAGTCTTAACGAGGGAGCATCATGAAAATAATCAATTATTTAATTTGCAGCTTGGAGGCTTTCTATTGTTTTTATTCCATTTCCTTTCCCCGAGCTGAGAATCAACAGCCCTGCAATACCAGGCTGGGATGTTTTATCCTCCTCCCATCCCAGATGTGTGTAAAGCAACTGTGGGCCCGAGGGCCTCTCGCTGATGCTACGCGCTCGGATTATCCGTTCCCCAACGAGCAGCATCGGCATTTCCTCCGAATGGCTTTCAGCAAAGATGCTTTGGCTTTGTACAGCACTAGGGACCCTGCACTAGGGACCATCACTAAGCTAAAGTGTGAATGTGTAGCCCAGCTCCATCCTCTTTGCAGCCCCCCTGCGGGGAGGTGAAGGCTGCTATTCAATCCTCCTCGGTCTTCTCATCTGCAGACTCAATCAACCCATTTCCCTCAGCCTCTCCTCACCAGTCCTGTCCCCCAGCCCCCAACCCATTTTCACTGCCCTCCCCTGGACTCTCTCCAACGTGTCCACATCCTTTCTGTACTGGAGGGCCCACAGCTGGACACAGGACTCCAGATGTGGCCTGCCCAGTGCTGAATGGAGGGGAAAAGAGCTGCATGGCACCTTCTCCCAGCAGCTCACAGATGGATCGGGAACACCCTCACATGCACACACACACTTGGTATTTTAGTCGGGTTTACCCAGGCAGGACAGAGGTGCTACTTAAGACTTAGAGAGATGCTATTTAAGGCCCTAAATAACATCTCTGTCCTGCCTTGTTCTTGTGCTCCCGAGATCCACGTGATAAAACCCCCCACAAAGTCCCCTCCGTGGCACAGAATATTTCTTGCAGGCTTCTGGATGCTCAGCGCAGCCCTTCTCATTACAGCTGCAGTTACAGTACCCGATTGTGCAACGAAGATGCCTGCAATAGCAGGCGGCGGGGCCGTGCAACCCAGGAGCCGCCGATGTTTAGAAAGCCATTGATTTTCCATTGGCGTGTCACAAGAGGAACCGCGTGCCAAGAGGCAGGCAGAGCAGGGGGCTCACCTCTCTGTACCGCTCCAGCTCAGCCTCAAACGTCCTCTTGTAGAACAGCGCCTGGAGCTGCTCGTGCACGTAGTTGTGACACAGCTCTTCAAACGTAGCGGCTCGTTCCTGCTTCTGGTGCCGAGGGTTATGGAAACCGGGGGTGTCCACCACCATGATGGAAGCCATGGAGAGGTGACTGGATGCAAAAGACCTAACAAGACAGGTTACAATCATGCGGATTTGCCAGGATAGCCTCTCTCTGCACCTGAGCATCTCTAGGGGTTGAAACGGCATCCCCCTCCCCACCCATTACTTCCCCTTGTTGTTGTCATCCCAGAAGGCTCCTTTAAATCATGCCAGCCCCCTGAGCCTGGGCATTCATTTCATTACCTTCCTATCTACATGGCGTTTGCTTAGCTTTCACCTGGTTTAGGTCTTAGTATAATAAGTGCTAACAAACATGCAGCTACGGGTATCTTCTGCCCGTTACAGTCTAAACTTCATTGAATACCTCCTCCTGTGCATCACTGGTGATGTCTTCCAACCTACCGTAGGATATCTATTGTGGCTGGTCCCAAGCCTTGTTTAATACATACTTCGTTGATGGTGAGCTCTGGCTTTAATCACTTGTCCCTAAAATGCAAAGCTCTCAAACCTCACTCATCTCCAATAAGGACAGTTGAGTTGACCCTAAAGAGGGCCAAATTGATCCACGTTGGCTAGGCTAATGACAAGGTCCATTCCCAACACACTGACTGCAGTATAATAAAGCCTACTGCTGCAGTAGAGGGAAGCAGGGCTTAAATTCTTGATGAAATCTATAACTGGAAATGCAGAGTACAGCAATTTTTTCCCCCTATGGGACAGCCACACTGTTGGTTGCTGGGGGGAAAAAAATCCTTATTTACAAAAACTCCTTGGAAGTTTTCCTTGCATCTATTCCAAACATCTCAGGTCAGCACAGCTCTGGGAACATGGCTTGGAAAAAGCTCTATGATTATTTTTTTTTTAAATACATTTTCCGCAACAGGCTGCCTGCGAAGTTCCTCTGCACCGTGTACGCCGCACCTTGTTTCGTGGCGTTTCCATCGCCTCCTCCCACGGCACGATACAACACGGCTAATAGCTCTGCTCGGTGTGTACGCGAGCGAGACGGAAGAACGTGTGCTTCTTTCAGATGGGAAAGGCCAAAGCTAGAAACATGCTGAAAATAACCGAGGAAAAGACGCAGGTGTTCGGGTCTGAGGTGCAGAAAGGCGTGCATGTCAGCTTTGAATTCATCTGCCGCCGCGAATGTCGGCACCTTCTCGGAGCCCCCGATGCTGAACGGGACTTGGGTTCACGATGCCTTGTCAACTCCAAGAGAAGCCAAAATTTCTGAACTGCATTGAAACATACGTTTTCCCTCCTGACGTGCTGCATCACTGTTTCAGTGGTTTCAAAGGGCCTTGACGAGCTGGCTTGGAAAGTAAAAGCAAGTGGAGCAAAGCTGGAGGTATCAGGAAAGGGGGCTGCAGGAGATATTCTCCGAGCTACGGCTACAATTCAGGGGGCTACACAACCAGCAGCATTTTGCTCTTCCAGGCCTGCTCGGGGAATCATCAGCGGTTTCTTTGTGCGGAGGCTGGATGAACCCGGCAGGAGCATTTCCAGGCGCCGGGCAGATCTGGGTTCTGAGTCGGACAATTTGAGCTGCGAGTTAAACACGAAAGGGCTTTGGGGGCCTGGCTATTCTCTAGTTTTATGCCCAGGTCATGCCACAGGCACGAATGCAATTAGTTCTGCTTCACAGCAAGGTCAAAGGCAACCGAAGCCGAACCCCAGAGCTCCTTCCTGTCCCAAGACTAGAGGCGATGCTGTAACGGGGGCTTCCCCGCGACCACAGATGCCAGGACCCCACAACAGCTGGATGAAACATCGCTCCTGCCTTTGGTCTCCACCTGGCAAGCAGGCCTCGGCGAGGAGACGATTCCTACCACACCTGCCTGGCTCATTAGCCGATTCCCCGACGGGTTCATTACTCTGTTCACACAGGCAACCTCCATTTGGAGCCTGCGAAGTCACATCTATTATTAATAAGTGAACTAGCTGCTTCTCAAGACTGAAACACCACTTCCGTGTAACTTCTCTGTGTTTACAGCTCCTGCAGCATCTGGAGGGAAATAAGGCTAGCGAAACAAAGCAGAGCACCGGTCTGTCTGACTGCAGGGAGTACTTTGCCCCAGCAGAAAACATACTAATTGGCTGTTGCAATCTCCGGGATGTACACGCGGTATGAGAAACAGCCGCATGTGGCTTTATCTGGGAAAAACGAAGCTGATTACCCTCCTCCGGCTTCCCCGGTCCACGTGAACACGACCATCAAAGAGGAGATCGCACATCCCAGACAGGGGGAAGTCTGGCAAAGGCAAAGTGGAAAAACCCCTCCTTGCAGTTTCAAGCCATCCTGGGCTATGACCTGGGAGGTGATGTGCAATAATGACAGCTCACATTTTCCATTTTAATGTCAAGAAAGTATTTTCAGACAGACAGGAAGCCAATGGAGCTGAAGAAGGGCAGAGACGTGATAAAGAGACACTGGTTTAATTAACAAAGAGGCAAGAGGCAGGTTGCCTTGCGTGCCATCCTGGGAGCCTCCTGACAGAGGTGAAGGCACGCACCTCCTTGGACGTGGCTTGGGAAGCTTGCATGTGCCAGTGGGCAAAAGAGAAGAGAGGAAGGGAACAGCACCTGCCCTAGGCCTGGGGATGGTGTGGGGCTGGGGAGGAGAGGCTGAGGGAAATGGGCTGATATGATCTGCAGAAGAGAAGACCAAGGAGGGATTTGATAGCAGCCTTCAAGTCCCCGCAGGAGGGTTGCAAAGAGGATGGAGCTGAGCTGTCCTCAGGGGTGACAGGTGAAGGAGCAATGGGCTCAAGTTGCAGCAAGGAAAGCTGAGGTTGGATATTAGGAGAAACTCTCACCAGGAAGGTGGTGAAGCACCGGGATGGGTTACCAGAGCAGTGGTGGACTCTCTGCCCTCGGAGGTGTTGGAGACCCAACTAGACCAAGCCTTGTCTGGGATGATGTAGTTGTGGCTGGTCCTGCTTGGAGCAGGGGTTGGACTAGATGTGACCCGAGGTCCCTTCAACCCTCGCGGTCGGTGATTGAATGAAAAGGGTAACGAGACACAACATCCTGCCCCTGAAGAGTCAGCCGGCGGCGAGGGCACAGCTGCTGCTTCTGCTGACCACGCGCACCCTCGACTGCAAGGACCCGAACCACCGCGTGGCAGAGAAATCATTTAAGAAGATCATTACCAGGCTGATAACTTTCTTCTGTTATAGAGATGTTCTCCAGATAACCTTTCCGCAGCCGGCAGGCAGGCAGCTCTGCAGAGCACGCTCAGGAAAGATTTCTCTTTATTAGCGTCAGGGAAGAAAGGCATCAAGGGCTCATATCATCTACATGAATCATTGCTATTTATTTGTGCACCGCTTATCCTGGCCTCCTGCCCTCCGCTCACTCAGGAAGGGCTCGTTTGTTTGCTTGTTTAATTTCCTGGCTCCGTACCTGTTGATCAGCGAGACAATTACAGCGAACAGCTCTTCGTAAAGGCCTGAAGCCATCCCCTCCACGCACTCCACACCCGTCATTTTGGGGCCTGGAGCAGACAAAGAGAAAAGACGACAGCGGAGTAAAGGCACGGGAGGCAGGATGAATTTTCCTGCCAGAGACAGAACTGGAAATTATCCCTCCCCACACTTCCTGGAGATCAGAAGCTACACCCGCCATCCCCATAGTCAAGACTTGACTCATATAAGTTATTTAGTACTTATACAGGGAGTCAGGACCTGGGTGGGTGCCTGCCATGGCTGTAGTGCCTAACATCTCATTCTCATGCGGGGACTGATGGTGCCAGTCCTTCCTTGCCCCTTGTCGGTGTCAAGAAGGAGCCAAGCAGGCATGGTTTAGTTTGCAACGTGAACAAACCCATTTAAATTTCACAAAAGCCTTGTACGCGTAAAGTGCGATGGAATTAAACTGCAAAAACGGGCAATTTCCGTCCCGTGTACAAGCGCACAATGAGCTCTACTTGTGTCACTAACGGCTTCTCATCCAGGGCAGGGAGGGCCTTACACCTGTGTGAAAATGCACACGCAAGCGCGCACATGCACTCCAGCTCTGTCTGCTGTAGCTCCATGAGATCATTTATTTCAGCTCTACGGGGCTTCATCAAGGATTTCATCAAGGGTTACACCGGCTTCTTGTGAAGCAGTCAACCTGCCTTATGCAGGAGTGTGATGAAAAGCAGCTGCCCTCACAACCTGGGGTGGGAGGGGTTATTTTTTTTATTATTATTATTATTTTGGGGGTGAGCTCTTCAAACGTTTTACATTCTTGCTTTAACCTGAGCTGGTTGCTAGGAAACGAATAACCCCCTTGCACCTTTCTCCAACATGACAGTCCTTTCTGTGGCAGATGTCAGGGTTTGAGAACCGTGAACGCTGGCTGCAAGCACACAAAGGTGGGGGGGAAACCACTTCCAACCAAAAACAGCGCCGGGCCAAGGGAGGAAAATAAAGCTTGCAGACTGCAATTGGAGGTGCCCTGGCTGCGAGCTGTTCTCCGTGCCCAGATACCAGCAGGTAGCAAAACATTCTTGGGGTCTCATCCAAATCCCTTCCACCTGCTCATTAAAAGTACCTGGTGTTTACAATTCAAATGGCTGTTTGTCAGGGCGGATTGGCCCCCCTCGTCTTCTGCCGCTTTTCCTCCCCCTCGCTGGGGAGAACTGGCAAGCGGCTGCTTAAGATTTCTCTTCTCAGTCTCCACACAAGACCGAGTTGTTAAAAAAGAAGAAAATAACCCCGTGGCCCTGTGAATTGCAAAAGCAACGGCAGCTCTGGCAGCTTGGTAAAGTGATTTGCCTATTGTGGAGGGTTACCGCATCTTATGAGGGCTTATTCACATGGCCTGGTCTGTTCAGGCAGTGGTATTGCGCTCTGCAGCACACAAACAGGAGTGCGAATGACACGCTGATCATGCAGATGGCAATGGCATCACCTTGGCCAAGGGACCCTGATGAGTTTGATGGTGTCCAGCCCCTCTGATAGTGCAGATGCAAGAACAAACATTATCTAGGAGGAGCGGAGAGGCAGTGGGGGCCTGTGCTAGCTGTGCTCCGGCAAGATCTCTCTTTGATCGGAGTTGCCCGTAGAAAACAGGCCTTCCCGTTGCCAAAGGGTTGACCTTTCTGCCCAGTCACTTAACTTATCTGATCCCACTACTGTCAGGATTAATTACCTACTCTCTTACGAGTGCCCGAAGGGTGAGGCACATGGAAGCAGTATTTTAAGCTGAGGAGAGGTCTGTTAATTAAGAACATTTAAGGTTTTTTTTTATTATGAATATGATGGAATGGATCGCCCGCACTGGCTGGCGAAGGACGTGTTGTGTCTTCCCATCAAAGACTCTGCCTTCTCCTTGGCCAAAGTCGAGAACGAGACACTGGGCAGAGTTTCTATGTCCGTTACACACAAAACGGAAGGGGGAAAATCCCGTACCAGGGCTCTTGTCCTCAGCCGGGCTTGGCCGACTCCCCCCGGACGTGACCTGCTCGATGATCTGTTTGAGATGGTGCTTGAAGACTGCCGTCGCCAGCTCCTCGTAGTCGCAGCCCAGCACTTCTGCGGCGTTATTAGCCGACTCAAATGTCATGAACTGCTTCCTGCCGACTGACAAGAGAGGAGAAAAAAACCAACTCAATGACACGAAGCGAGTCCGAAGGAGGCCGAACACGGCTTGACCGCAGCCGGCTCCCCTTCCTGACCCAAAGACCAACGCTTTCTCCTGGGGAGAGCGTAAGGGAGTGGAAAGATCAGAGACAAGGAGGGTGGGAGGGAGCTCAGGAGGTTGCATCCAGTCCGACTCCCTGCTCCAAGCAGGACAGTCCCGACTACATCATCCCAGCCACGGTCTTAAAACCTCCAAGGGTGGAGACTCCCCCACCTCTCTGGGTTGAAGCCCTCAGTCACTCTTGCAGTGATGCCTCCTTACCTCCTCGCTACCCCCGGGACACTTCACCCTCCTCCCGTGCATACGTGGCCCCTCACGTATAACTTCCAAACCGCTGTCCGTTTTCCCCAGCCCCGAAACGAGATGCACCGGGCCCCACGCGAAGCAGCACTGCGACAAAGACTTGGTCTGGGGGGAAACCGGCAAAACTCGCGAAGCCGATGGCAAAACTTTGACCTGAGCATCTTATACAGAGATAAGCGCCCCCCAAAACCACTGACAGGATTTTTTCAGCTTTGGAACATGATCAATTTTCTCTCTCACCCAATTAACACGATCGTGTTGTTCCCTGCTGGAGAGAACGCGACAAACACTGCACCATAGCAACATTAATTACTTGCAAACGCCAATTGTGAAGATCTTTCACAGCGGCTGCCATAACACAAGACGCAAGAAAAATGTTTCTAGGTCCTTAATATGTTCGCACCGTACAAAGGTTGAGGCGGAAGAGGGGGCGAGATGCGAGGGCACGTGAGTTGGAAATGATTTCTCAACGCAGAGTAATTTAAAATCAATTGCTGCTCAGGTGTTGTATGGCACGGCTAATTAGTCATAACCTGATGCAAGCCGCTCATCAGGAAGGCAGAGAGCAGAATAAAGCTGATTTCCCTTTCCCTCTGCACAGGGAAGCAGACCCGGTATTTATAGTCTAAGCTACACCAAGCTTGGCTCCCCCCGTTTCAAATGCCAAAATTTGTGCAAAATCCCCGACCTGAGGCCCCTGCCTCACACCTGAACGGAGGTTTGGTCGAGGAAGGATCGGTCCCTTTGCCAACTGCATGCCAGGATGGAGCTGCAATGCTCCTCCTGGCTTTTTCCAGATGCTTTTTGCATCCCTTTAGGAACTTCATGCTGACACTTTTCAAATCCAGCCAAAACACTTCTCCCCTTCAGCTCGGCTCATGCTGCACCGCGGCCCCCCTCCGGCAGCATCTGCTTTGTGAAGTCTCCGTGTATTTTGCCTAAAACAACACAGCCACCGACCGGTGTGCATGCAGCTGGCTCAGACCCTCCAAAACGGTTCACTCGGGGGCAGAAACGAAGCGTGGAGAACGCCAGGCCCAAAGGAAACGTGTTCAGAGACTTCAGAGCAAGGGGGGACTGAACTGTGACCTGAGCTATAGCGTAGCCCCAATTGCAAGGGATATTCCTGTGCATGCATTACGTGCTTGAAAGGACTGAACAAACCGATGTGTTTATGGAAGCTGACAGGCTTATGAATCGATCCCTCCAAATCCAGGAAGGTCTTTTTCAAGCCCAACTCTGTTTGCAGGCTCCATAACCCTGGAAGTAAAGCTGCTCTCATCCCCCACTACAAATAGAGCTGACATGTATTTTCAAGGAAAAATATTTATATCCAGCAATACTCATTCCAGCTAATGATTAAAATCAATAGGGAGACAAACCACAGAATAAATGCTTTTACAAATCTAAAGAGAAATATGGTTCCATGACAGCGAGCTGGCAAGAAATCAGCAAGGCTGGATGAAATGAGTAGAAAACGGAGGAGAGAGTCAAAGTCATACAGAGACCTCTCCTTAATGCAGAGGGGATATTGGAACAGGCCTTTCTGTAACCTGCAGCCAGAAAGCAAGTACAAAAAAAAAAGGAAAGGAGGAACAAAAACCAGCCTGAATTGCTTGTAGGTTTGCTTTAAACAACGAACAAAGCAAGCAAGAGGATCGGGTTTTCTCTTGCTTTGCACATATTTTTCTCCTTTATGTTTGGTTCTGATGGCGAGCTACCATTCACATAAGATTGTGCTAAGTGGAGGTAGATTATATATCTATATTTAGATATACATATAGGCAACCATCGCTCCTCTGGATCGGATCGCGGTGCACGTGTAAGAGGTCCAGCCAGGTGCCCGATGCATCCGCTTGTGGCCGACAAGCCCAACTCGAGAGCGACACCGCTCATAACAAGCACCGCAGGTCCAGGTGTTGTCCGAGTCGGAGCCCAAGTTTGCAGCAAGCTGCTTCCTTCTTTCTTGCTTTGCTTCCAGCCTCTGGATCAAAGCTGCTTCATGCCGAGCTGCAGCCAGTGCCAGATGTTCCCTCCAGACCAGGCGGGATGCTACACACTCCTCCCAGATGTTGAACAACTTCAGATGATGTTTTGCACACATCGCAGGGGGTGACCCCACTTCCTAGAGCCGTCTCAAATCTCTCTGTACCAAATATTCTTGGGGATACGGTCTCCTCCCGTTCTCCTGACGTGGCCGAGCCATCACACCCCCTCTTCTTGAGAGCGTGTCAGTCCTGCGCGCTCCAGCACCTCTGTTTGGCATTTGTCTTCTCACTTTCTTTTCAGGCTCTTGCACAGGCATCTCACGTGGATGCTGTTCAGTCTCCTGATGTGCCTAGCATGTGTTGTCCACATTTCTGAACCATAAAGCAAGGATAACAGCACACAAGTCTCATAGATTTGCATCTTCACCTAAGTGGTAGTTTGCTGTTCTTCTGCAGAAAAGGACCTGGGGGGACAGGGGACAAGAAGCTGAACGGGAGCTGGCAGTGCACCCTTGGTGCCAAGAAGGTTAAGGGCTTCCTGGGCTGCATTGGGAGGAGCGTTGCTGGCAGAGCAACGGCAATGATCTTCCCCCTCTGTTCAGTACTGGAAAGGCCACATCTGGAGTCCAGTGTCCAGTTTTGCACCCCCCCCAGCACAAAGGATGTGGACAAGTTTAAGAGTCCAGCGGAGAGCAATGAAAATGGTTTGCAAACTGGGGTCATGACTGGTGAGGAAAGGCTGAGAGAAATGGGCTGATTTAGTCTAGAGAAAAAAGACTAAGGGGGAAATTGATAGCAGCTGTCACCTCCCTGCTGGGGGGCTGCAAAGAGACTAGAGCTGGGCTGCTCTCAGTGGGGGCAGACGACAGGACAAGGAGCAATGGGCTCAAGTTGCAGCAAGGGAAGTTGAGGTTGGAAATTAGGAAAACTTTTCTTACTAAGAGGATAGTGAACCACTGGAACAGGTTACCCACAGAGGTGGGGGAGTCTCCATCCATCGAGGTTTTGCAAGCCTTGGCTGGGATGATGTAGTTGGGGCTGGTCCTGCTGGGAGCAGGGGGTCGGACTAGATGCGACCTCCTGAGGTCCCTTCCCACTCAAATTTTTTATTTCATGCACATTTCTATCATAGCCTGAAATTCTTAGCTGCTTTCCCGATTCTCTTAGTTCAGTCTGAAGGTCAAGATATCTGCTGATGTAGAACCCAAGTAGCAAAAGTTATCAACGACACCAAGAGATGCACCCGCCAGAGTGATGTTGGGCACTGTTTCTTCCACCCCCTGGTACACGATCACTGTCTTCTTGAGACTAATTGTCAACCCAAAGCTCTTGCATGATGCAGAAAATCTGCCCAAGAGATTTTGCAGGGAAGATTTGCTGTGGGCAACCGGGGCCATGAAATCTCTCCGAACCAGCTTTCACATTGGGTTTCTCTCTAAACCTTGCATGTAGAACAAGCCTCCACCTAGTCTGGTTCAAAGATAAATGCCATCACTGCTGTCCTTGAATGCACGAAGAAGCAGGAATGAAAAGTTGACGTTAAAGAGCATGGGGGCTATAACCCCCCCCGTTTCACCCCGTTGTTGATGTCAGAGGCGTTTGAGTCTGTTTCCATGCACCACAGTTACCTTCATACCTTGATGTAGTGAGCAAATGATGCTCAACAGTTTGGGGGGACAACCCAGTTTCTTCACAACAGTGAAACGGGCCTATATACAGGGTGTGTGGATGTATCTAGACCTAGATCTGGATATCTGTGGATAGATATCTATCTATATAAATATATTTCTCTATCTATCTACTTTGGTTAGTCTATAAGGCGCAAGGCTACCCTGCCTGCTACTTGACTTCATACTAACAAGGCTTCCTCCGTCTCTCTGATGAAGATCTCCAAGCCCTGCGGAGAGTGCTGCAACTGACTGAAAGAAAATAATTCAGGATTATTTTCCTATCTTTGTTTCGAATTTTTAAATCAAGTTTCTGAAACGTTGGAATTTGGAGGGCTTCAGACAGCTCCGCAACCCGTGCAGCAAATGCTGAGAGAAAAGAGCAGAGTTTCATTGCTCTCCCCCTTTCCCGTCTCAGTTCCAGCGTTTCATCAACGCTGGAAAATCCCCGGGATTTCAACCTGCTCTAGTCCAGCGTGCGGACACAAGCTTTGCATCCGCAATCCTGCAATCACGGAGGAACTATGTTAGAGAGACAAACTGCCTTTTAAAACTTTATTATATAAAAGCAAAATCTCTTCCCTGCTCCCCAGCCAGGTATTTACTTACCTTTTAATGGTCTCAGAAAAACTAATCCCTCTCTTAAGAGGCAAGAGGTTATTTAACCTTGGTTTTCCTATTGCCTGGGAAGCTTATATACTATAGCTGTGTCAAGCTGGTGTGAAGTCCCTTCTGGGCTCTTATACAGCTCCTGTCACTGCCATATCTCAACGCTGCCGCTGCAGAGGTGGGTTTGCTGTCACGATGCTCTGTGGCGAGACAGGGAAGTCTTGCATTGACAACCCAACTGAAGAGAGCCTGGGAAAGTTCCCCGGGTCGTCCCGGGGCCGCATGGCAAAGCCTGGGAGGGCCCAAAGTCCCAGTCCAGGGCTTTAACCCCAATCCTCCTCTTCCTTCTGCACATCAGCTCACCCTTCGCAC